AATACTGCAAAAGATAAGTTTTGTATTTTAGGAAATAAGCTTATTTTTTTCTTGTCATGAGTTAAATGAGAATAAAACCTCCTTCGTTTGCTTTACATAGCACGCAGAGACCAGCTAGACATAACTAAAGACTAGAAGCAGGGACAACAGCCAGCCTGGTTTTTGAATCCATCCATTATCTATACACACCTTAATCCTCACGAGGGTCATGGGGGGCTGGAGTCTATCCCAGCTGACTCAGGGTGAAGGCAGGTTCACCTGGACAGGTAACCAGTCTATCACAGGGCTACACTTAGAAACAGACACCAAGCACACTCACATTCACACCTACGGACAATTTACAATCACCAATTAACCTCAACATGTTTCTGGACTGTGGGCGGAAGCCGGAGAACCCGGAGAGAACCCACGCTGCACGGGGAGAACATGGAGACTCCACCCAGAAAGATCCCGGGTGTCCTCACCAGGACGCAAACCGGCGACCTTCTAGCTGCGAGACAACGATGCTAACCACTGAGCGACCTTGCAGTCCTGGTTTTTGAATATTTTTTAGAAAATATTTTGTCAACAATACTTTGATACTGTATGTGGAGATGGATCAAAGAGACAACAGGCAGCTTGACACTGCAGATAATCAAATCCAACAGCTGCGACTGCAATGTTAACTTAAGAGCGCATCAAAACAACAAATCGTACTTCCTGAATGTAACTGCAATTCTATGACCATTAAGAAACAGAACGATGGAGGTTTGTTATGTTCGCCTGTATCGTGAGTCGTAAGCTGGCAGGAGGACAGAAAACACTGCAGTTTTTTCAGGGCCAGTCAGAAACCTGGAGGAGAAACGTTTTTCCTCCTGAAATCTGCTCATGAGAAAGGTTCTTCAGGGATGGTTCTTGTGGTCGAAACATACACACAAAGGTTCAAGCAGCAATAAAATGTCCTGCAAGCTCCTGTGGGGGAAAAATGCTTCCAAACAGATATTTTATTTATTAGTCTTTTGGTAAAATTGTTTGATATTTTTTGGAAAATACACATTTGTTTCCTCGTCCAGAGTTAGTAGAGAGACTTGACACCACTGTGGAGATGGAGACAGGCGACGATTAGCTTTGATTAGTGTGAAAACCAGAAGTATTATGAAGCAGCTAGCTTGGTTTACTCTACACCTGGTCTGATGAAACTCCTTAATGAACACTTTGCATCTTTTGTGTTTCATCTGTACACAAATTGAAAAAGAAATGTGGCCTTTCTGCTGGTCATTAAGAAAAGCTGCAGCACTCCAAATACCACAACTTGTCTGCAAACTTAACAAATTACATACAACTTGTTTATTAGCAAAAACGTTAAACTTTGGCACAAATCTGTTTCCTGCAGCTTCCAGTCTGAGCAAACTGATGACACAGTTCTAAAAGTATTCACCAATCCCCTAATCTAACTTATCAATAAACTACACAGGAGTGTTTTGAACAGCAGCTGCAAGAAGTTTCTCAACAGCTCGTCTCTGTATTTCCCCCAGCAGCCATTGTTAATCACATTAATACACTTTCTCTCTGTGAGGTTCATTGATTCCTTCCCTGGTTATTTGTCTCTGTGTAATGTTTCTGACACTTGTCTCCCCGCATTGACAGACCAGTTAACCTCAGCTGCCGTGTCCACCATCTGCTCCTGACATTCTGTAACCGTGCACTCGTGGTAAGGCTACACTCGGACAACATCGGCCTCGGCTCTCCTGGGAAGGTAAACACACGTACAGTATGCATACATACATCAACAGACGCGCCTTCGGGGGTTTCCTGAGGCGACGGATGTCAGCCTGTCACGCGGGTTACAGCTGACTGTCGCCGCTTTGTCCTCTCTGCTCGCAGCATTTCAATATTCAAGAGGTTTTATTTGTCACATGCTCATACAGTTTGTGCAGCGAGACGCAAAGTGGCTCTTCCTCAAGGCTGTGCAGTGACAATAAGACATTACAAAAGAGCATTCTGTCTAAACTTTGATGATTTTGATGCTCAAGCGCGGTTTAGATCGAGTGTATTCAAGCGTAACAAGCACAAGAACTGCACAGCACCTGATTCTGAGCTTGTTTTCTTCCATTATTTAGCTCAAACGCTCACTTTTCTTTGCTCCTAATGCATGGGTGTGTAGGTTTAAGCGCCTCTTGTCTTCTTTGTCTCTCTCTCTCTTGCCCTGTATCTGGGTGCTGTTGCCTCATCAGACAAACCCTGAAGCTAAAAACATCCCAGAGGGGAAACAATATATGATCACCGCCTGCTTAAACCTCCTCACTGTGTTTTTTCTGTTTTTATCTTTGTGTAAAGGAGCGATGGGGGTGTTGTGCTTCGTGAGGTGACAACATTTCACTTTGCTGCGGATTAATTAGCCTTGAAGATCAAACAACCAGAAGCAGAATGCATGAAAAAAAAAAAAAACCTCATCTACCCTTTTCCCCCCAGAAACAATTAAGATGCTTCCAATCTGTCTGCTACGAACTGCTTTGTGCCATCTGACCGGCCCGCCAGCAGCCACCTTATCGGGGCCGTTAAAGGTATCTCCCCTGGGAACGTCCTCACCATCTGCTTATCCCGCTGAAATCAGAGGCCCGCCTTGACTGGAGCTGTTCTGTCAGAGGTGAGATGTTTCACAAATCAGTCAGCGTCTGATTCGCGATGGACTTGCACAAGAACGTAAACGGCAGATAGGAGCTGAAAAGAGCGATAAGGTGCAGATTAGGATCAGACAGCTGGATTAGAAGCTCTTCCACAGAAGTGTCACATCAGGAGGAAACTGGTCGGATTTTAAACCGGCTTTCCATCGTCTCTTTTATAAAACATGTAAACCAAGAAAAGACGCCTCCCCCCTTAAAACACAATGTCTACTGTCTTTTTAAATATTGATTTTTTTGAATATAAATTAGATATGTACACAAGAAGCATGCTTAAGTGAACATCTTTAGAGGGTTATTACATCATACCAGACTACAGCTGTGTTATTATAAAGCATAAAAGGGAAGAAGCCTCCAAGTCACTTTTATCAATACAAACGTATTCATGTGTAGCAGAGTTAATGATTCCACCTGCCATCTCTTTTCATAATACAGTTATTTGCCTTATTTATAATGGATTTATTTCCCCACTGGGACTGGATGCAATGTTGGGCCCCTGCAGACTTGAGGGGTCAGTAATAAGCTCTGTGTGAAATGATGAATAAGGTTGTTTTAGTGGTACATTTCTGGCCTGTACCGGTGGTGTACTTGGTAAAATATAGTCCAAATGCTTCTGTGACAATAGTGGCTTTTTTATGGAAAACAGCACACCAGGTTACTGGTCTCTGCTAGCTTGATCGTAATTACCAGCCATCCCCGTGATGCTAACAGTTAGCTGAATAACTTCTTCTTCGTTTTAGTAACTCCCGGAGCTTATAATTGTGGTGACGGCTGTGAGACCGAACATCAGTGTCTCTTATCAGTGTCCTGTAAGTTATGAATAAACGGCTGGTTGGAGCCAAAGGACGAGCGTTCTGGATTTGGTGTTTCACACAACGCAGAAGATCGTACACAACCGCTACACATGCATAAGATTAATGACACTCTCACATGCTGATGTTGCTCTGAATTTAACTGCAACAATAATGTGAGATAACACATACAGAAAAATAGCTAGCTTGTGCTACAATATAGAATAGAATATTTTTTATTGATCCCCTATTGGGGAAAATTTACATGCCACAGCAGCATCCAAAAAAATATAGAGAAGAAGTACTAGGAAATAACAATAATTAAGTAATAAAATAAGTATATACACAAGATGACAAAAAATATACAATTGAATGAAAAAAAGATACAATATTTGCACTGAAAAAGAAACAGACTTGTGCTAATATAGCACAACATTATTAACCTAACATCAGATATTTAGCTAGTGCTAGGGCAAGCTAACAGTACATTTATTCGCTTAAGCTAACATCAGCTAGTTAGTTAGAGCTACGGCAAGCTATAACAGCATAACATTATTTTGTGAACATGAAATTAGCTAGTCGTCCAGCAAACTAATATAGCATAGCATTATTAGTTTACGCTAACATCAGCTGGTTAGTTAGTGCTACGGCAAGCCAAAATAGCAAAACATTATGAGCTGAACATAAAGACAGCGAGTTAGCTCGGGCTCCAGCAAACTAATATAGCATAACAATATTAGTTTAGCCCAACATCAGCTAGTTAGCTAATGCTACAGCAAGCTAATGTAGCACAACATTATTAGCTGAACATAAAGTCAACTAGTTAGCTAACGCTACAGCAAGCTAATATAGTATAATTTTATTAGCTGAACATGAAGTCTGATCCTAATGAGGATTAAGCGGTGTATAGATAATGGATGGATGGATGGAAGTCTGATATTTAGCTACAGCAAGCTAATAGCACATGAATCTTCCATACAGCCTATGTTCTAATATAAACGGTACAGAAATGCTAGTATATGTTCATTCTTATAACAAAAAACAACACAGAGGTTTATTTTGTGCTGTCAGGCTATTACATCATATGCTTCTAAAGTCCTTCTTTTGATTTCCTCAGAGCAATAAAATGACTTTAATACTATATAGGGATTAGAACGGTCACTACCATCCAAGAAATGACTGCAAAATGAGGAGGAGGGACAATGTGGTGGATCATGAACCCAGTCACCTTCTATGTTTTCCCCTGTGATATAATACTCACCACCTTTGCTCCTGATGCTGTAACCTGTGCAACGCTGACACCTAGTGGTCGGCGCTGGGACTGCAGCGCAGTTAATCGTGGTTTTCAATGAAAACTATTAAAATTAAGAGTTACACTCTTTTGTCAACAGACAAATTCAAGCTTGTTTTAAAACGCGCGTTATCTGGTTTATTTTATTTTATTTCGCTTGATTGTGTGTGTTTCGTTCCTGTCCCCGGTCAGAAAGCAAAGAGGAACCATCATCTGTTGCTTGTTTCCTCAGGTGGAAGCGGACGAGTCGTCGAAGGAGCAAATCAAAATGGCGAGCCAAGAGGAGTCAGTGAGGGAGTTCGTCGCTGTTACTGATGTGGACGAGGAGAGGGCCCGGTTTTTCCTGGAGTCCGCCGGCTGGAATTTACAGGTACGGCTTCCCTGGTGTTTTTCACAGGGCCAAGTTGGACCTCACGATGGACGATCCGGAGGAAACGGCGGCTACATTACATGTGTCAGACGGATAGCTCGCCGGCTAACGTTAGCCTGTGTTGCCGGTAATTTGTGCAAGTCACCCTTTGACAATGGCTCGGCCGCTTTCTGTCACCAACAGCGGGGCCGTTGTCCGGTCCCTTAGCCCACTCAGTCACGATTACAAGAAATGTTGTCCTCCTATTACAAAGGAGGCTGACGATTCATTTCTGGCTAACGTTGCTCTGCCGGGAGTCCATTGACCCGTGCTAGCTAGCGTTAGCTTGTCACCATATAACAGCAGATTAATGTTGGTTAACGCAGCAAAGTACAGTAGCTAGCATGTAGTGCTGCGGCACTGGCTGTCCAGGTGTTGTGCCAAAGAGTAAATCTCTGCCAAAAACCGAGTGTGTGCAGTTTACATACATCTACAGCTGCTTTAATCTGGATCAAATGTCACAATGGGCAAATGCTAAGAACTTTATGGATGCAGTCAAAGCAAAAGTGAAGCTTTGGCGTTTCTTGTAAACGAAAAAATGCTACCAAAGAAATGTAAGAAGTTTATTGTGTAATCAGGCCTGACAGTTAGGATGACTAAAGGAAAAGGTGTAGCATTGTTTCTGTTTGGTATGTCTAATACTCCTGGTCATATTTGGAGACTAAACTGTAATTTATATGTAAAATAAAGACTCTTGTGTGTGTTTTGCAATTATTCTATGAGCTATATTCTATGAGGCGTTGCTTTAAAACTGTCAGGAATATAATGAAGTAGTTTTTGTGCATTCATAACATTTCAGTCACAATGTTGGGCCTCCAGTCAGTGTTTAGCAGGTAGGAAACTGCATTATATGAGTTTAATCAGTCTTTTAAAGTGGTTTCAACTTGGAAAAAAACAACCAAATTGCTTGTAATGAAGGACACAGAGCAGGTAAAGTAACGTGGAGACAGGAGAATAAATCCTCCTGCAAACAGTCATCAGTTTTTCACAGGCGATCTCTTCTTGGCTCAGTGTCGTGCCAAAAAGTGATTTAGCCTCCACAGGATCTATTATCCTTGTGTTTCTGCGTTGCTTTACCCGTCCTGTTCCCTGGATTATTACCAGTCCAGTTCCTTTTAGCTGCTGAAACAGCTTTAAAGGACTAACTCAAGTCACATATTGTGATTGTCGCTCCTGCATTCTGACTGAGAAGTTATTAGTGCATCAGAATGACTTGATGTGATTCCTGATGGGTAGATTTTCAAGAATATAGCTCATATGATAACTGCAGAAGAGGTTATTTCTCTGAATCATGTTAATTACAGTCTACATAACAGTGTTTGACATGTCGAAGACATAGAGCCAAAACATTGTGAGCAATATTATAATATTGCCTAAAAGCATCTATAACACATGTCTGATTATGACGTTAACATTTGTCACAATTAGTCATTTACAAGAAACAGTAAAGTTTCACAGAGGCATACCTTTGCTGACACCACAGTGTGTATTTACGAGTTAACATTGTAATAAAGCAGTTATAGATGCATATAAACTGAGCAATACAGCTTTAACAGGAGGTGCACAGTCCCACCGACAGCAGCCATTCTTTGGATGATAATCACTTTTCTTTTGGCACAACACCCGTGAAGTTAAACGTTGTGTTGTCGGCAAAATGAAGCCCTTACTCGCACTGTTTGTGGAGTCTAATACTACAAAAATGAAACCAGAAGTTAGATATAGTTGGAATGTCCTCTGCTCCACCAGCACTTCCAGCGTTACAGGAGAAACAGAGAAAATAAATCAGTCAGTCCTGTGGTGTAAATACAGAATTATAGCCCTTGATGAAGAAAGTCGTTTTCTTTTATTTTGATGGTCACAGACCCCTGATTTCATCACCTTTTGTCATGTGTTTTCCCTCCTCCTGCCACAGACCCCCGATTCCACCCCCTGTTGTTCATTGTCCCCTTACTTCCTGCCATCTGATTAGCAACTGTATGCTATCAGAACCCCGACTCCACCACCCGTCTGGTCACCAGACTCCGATTTCATCCCCTGTGGTTCATTGCCCCCCTTACCTCTGGTCATTTGATTAGCAACTGTATGTTAATTTGCTGCTATTCACCTCTGTATTTACATACAGGCCCCCCTACCCTCTGACTCACAGTATGAATGTGTGACTCTGGAGATGTTCAGGGTCGGTCCACCTTCACAGACTCATGCTCTGTGTTGGTGAGCCCACCGTATACCGGAATACTAATAAACACCCACTACAGCAAACCTCACATGAGGACTATGAGTAAAAATTTCTTCAACACCCTCCTTGGTGCTTGACACGAGAACATGCCGGAACTTCAGACATTAATGGGAGTTAATGTAGCTCTTGACTGAGGTGTTGCCCAAACAGTCACCAGTAATAATTGCCACTTGTCAGATAATAACTTATTTATGAGCTGTCTGTCAGGGTTTCAATGTCACATTATCATATTTGTTTTGCCTCCTCTCAGCTTGCGCTCGCCAGTTTCTTTGAGGATGGCGCTGATGACGACATCGTGACGCTTCCTCAGCCTGAGGGAGGCTCCTCAGTGTCCCGGTCTGCAGGGCCCAGGTAGAGTCTCCATCCCGCCAGAGCTTTTATTACCACCACACTTTGTTCTGGTGAAAATACACTGTCATATTTATACTAGAACAGTGTTTGTTTGTCGTGATGTGATTCTGTAACACAACATATCAAACACACCGTCGTCTTTGTGCACAGCAGTCAGCCCAGAGTAACCTCCTTCAGAGATCTGATGCATGAGGCAGAGGACGAGAGTGATGAGGAGGAAGGCCAGAGGTAAGTTATTTATCTTTAATGAATGTGTCACTTTACTTGAAACCGCCAGATGAAGCAATAAGGTCATAAAGGGGCTATTTGATATAGAAAAGCTTTCACGGCCCTGGTTGGGATTCACTGTCGTACTCAAGGACACTTCAGAGCTTTAGAGAGATTAAAGTGGGCAAGTAAGAAAACAGAAAGACATCGTCCAGCTGATGTTTGTGTTGCAGCAGCTGTTTAAGGTCTTTGTTCTTCTCCTAAGTGGCTGTGAGTCTTGTTAAAGGCTGTATCATGGCTGCCTTTCACAGCCATACAGCCTCACAGTGTCTGGATGGTGAAAGTCCCCCCTCGTGGGTGTGATTCCAGAATGCACCAAACTATTTTTGGTCTCACCTCATTCACCGGTGGCTTTCTGCAGCATCAACAGATTCTGCTGCCGGGGCAGTGCAGTGGACTGGCTGTTGAGGGACTGTGTGGGGGGCTCTTAGTGCATTTTTATTACATCCATAAAAACGAACTGAGCTCAAGAACAGTAATTGTTCAATCCAGAGCCAATTATGGGATCATGCATAATTTACATTACTCCTAGTTCTGTTTGGTGGAACATTTACTGAATTTCAATAGTTTGTTTTGGTTTCTCTCTGGAGTTTTATGTGAGAAACTTCGCTTCGTTAGCTTGCAATTATCATTTGACCAAGATTCTATAAATATAGGACTGAGGCTTCATTCCTTTGTGTGTTTTTTGTTCTCCTCCTGCCAGATGACTGACAGTAAAATAGCATAACAGGAGTTATGTAATGCAGCGCTGGTATCGACTGAGTGATATTGATTATGTGGCTCAGGTGACTTGTTCATAGTGTTTATCATCTCGTCTCTTATCTACGCTGTAGATTCAGTACTTAGCTCCAAGTCAATAATGTGCTGACGTTCAGTGCACAGTAGCAGGCAAAGGTTTGGGCTGTTATGTACCACATTTGGATTTACGGCAATTTTAGATTCTTTATAGGAGCTTCCTTCTGCTCTGGTAACACCTCTGCTCAACCAGCTTCATGAGATCTTCTCCAGTGTTGGAGTTCCCACATACGCTGGGCTCTTGTTCTGCGCTCCAGCTCTTCCCAACCTCTCTGAGTTGTGTTTAGGTGGGTGATTGTGGAGGTCAGATGCTGCACTCCGACTCTGCGTCTTGGTCAGAGCCTGGAGGTTTGTTGTGGTAGCCATGTTGGATTCACAGTCTGTACCACACATGCACATTATATCCGTTCCACTTCTCTGGAGGTCCAGCTTTGAGCTGGCCTAATGTCTGTTTCCTGGATTTGTTGTTGTTTTTTGTTGTACTGTGGATTACTAGAGTAGTTGGATGGCAGTAACAAGGCCTACCTGTTACCTGAAAACCATTCCAGGTGACAAACTCAGCTGGAGCTGGTTACGATAGCGTTTGGAAAGCTGGATTCATGGTTGAGGCAAGGCTTTTAACTGGAGTTCACCTGCGTGGATTCTTAGTCATCCAGGTCATGGTAATCCTGGGAGCTTCAGTTGAAAGCAGCTGTACTTTTTTTTAGGTTCTTGAAGACCAGAGCTGAAGAAGCCTCTCGGGTAAGAGGTGAAACGTCTTCAAGAACCTAAAATAGACGTCCAGTTGCTTTCTACTGAAGCTCTGAGGATTAAGTGGAGTCCCATCGTAGGTTTTCATTTGTAAGTGTTGGATTTCTTCCAGCGATGTCTGCAGCACGAGATTGATGATCTGTTGTCAGTCTTTGTTGTCCTTTAGTCGTGTTTCCCACATCAACTGTGTTTGTCTCATTACTCAGTATGAGACTGTTCTGGGAATTGTCTGTATTCAGTCACTTTGATGGCAGCGAGGAGGAGGTCTGCGGTAGAGATGTCTTCGTTAGTTGTGTCCTGCTGACACAGAGACGTTATCTGAGCGTTTTTTCAACTTGCCTCATGTTGTCTTCCTCATCAAAGCACCACAAACCACAGCTCTTGTTGTGCTTGCTTGTCTGTGGCTGCATGTTTGTGGAGGTACATGTAGGTGTAGCCTCTGAAAGCAGGAATGATGTTAGTCTTTGAATCTTGTCTGTAAAGCAGCATCTGGACGAACCGGTCACATGCATCTACCTGGAGTACACTGAGCTTCACATAGGTCACCAGGTAGCCAGTTTTATAGAAATGGAAGAGTAAAAATATAAACAAGGGAGAGGAGACGTGTGATTTTTGGGGCTGTCAGATGTGAGAGAAACATGGTTAAAGCACAAACATGACAACAGTACTGTGACTGATTTCAGGTGCAAAGACGTTTGACAAAATCTGAATTTGAGGACGTAAACGCCACAATTCGACCGCTGCAATGGTCTCCATCTACACACAAACCAGTCAGACTGTGATGTAAAATACGCACAAATTAACCTCACACTCAATTTGTAAATGGTGCATTTCATGTTGTACTGTTATCCTTGGACAAGACCTGCTTTATCATGAGCTTGATCTCCTCTTTGGAGGTCTTCCAGTGCATTTAAGTGTCCACACTATGATCAAAGCTTGTATATTGTTTTAATATAAGATAAGATCGGCCCTAAATAATCCCACAGTGGGGACATTTGCAGGATTACAGCAGCAAAGATGGTGCAAAAGTTTAGGAAATGTACTGCAAAAATAAACCAAGACATAAATACTAATTATAGGAAACACAGTATTGTACATGCCAGTGGTGTTGCTCAGATTGTTGACATAAGTATAAATATTACACAGATTTTGTATGTAATAGTAAAACAGTTTCATAATAAAAATTAATGATGTACAGTCCTACAGAGTTTATTAGACTCGTATCTCACAGTGAACCTTTTTATTGCAGCCTTTAGTGGCTTCTACCTTTAGAGTGCTTACTGTGCGTTATCTGTATTGTAAAAACCATCTTTATCATCACCCCGGCAGGTTTTTTGCGGGGGGATCAGAGCGCAGCGGGCAGCAGATCGTCGGGCCTCCCAAGAAGAAGAGCTCCAATGAAGTGGTGGAGGATCTGTTCAAGGGGGCCAGAGAACATGGAGCTGTGCCTTTGGACCGGACTGGGAGAGGACCAGGAGAACCCAGCAAAGCCAAGGTGCAGTGAAGCCCATCAGAACAACGCTGATGTGCTTTAGTCTCTGCTTCTCTGTTGTCGTATTTCCTGTCAGACAGAAATAATTAGTTCATGTTTATAATCCTCTTGTCGTTTGTTGTGTTTTTGTCGTCTCCCAGGCCTTCGTCGGTGGAGGTTACAGGCTAGGAGCAGCTCCCGAGGAGGAGTCGACCTACGTGGCTGGAGAGAGGCATTCCTCCAACAGCCAGCAGGACGTGAGTTCACATCCTGCTTCTTGTTTCGCTGCCGTTGTTGACTAGTCGATTCCTCTGAAGTAGATGTCAGCCACTAGAAAGCTGTTGAGTTTGTGGCAATAAAACCAGACAGAGCAACAGATGGGGAATGTTTGATTCTCCTCCAGTCGGTTTACTAATCATTAATCTGAAGCTATTCCTGCTTCTGTGAGTGAAATCATGCAACACTTTGCAGGTAGAAAGCTGGGACGATGTTTTGGTGTATTCATAAAACATCCCAAAGCTAAAAGACGTGTTACTCCTCAGTTCAGGAGTCCTAATGTTTTGGTCTGAGCATAGTTCATATTAATATTATTATTAATGCATATTAGCACTAAACGTAGTTCAGACGTGCCCTACGCCACTAATGTGAGTCAAATCCAGTACAGCCAGTCTGCAGCTCAGAATATCTCAGCTGTCTGTCCGAAGTATTTATCAAATATGTCGTTTATCCATATATTACAGAGGTTTTGCACACATAAATGTGTTTTTTTTTAGCTGTAAACTAAATAAAATGGCTCTACTGTGATGACACAAAATGATTAATAACACAATTTAAATTTAAAAAAGGCTTTTAATGGGTTCAAAATGTGTCAACACGCTATCAAGGACCAATGCTGACGTAGAGTCAAACGTTTAGGACTCCTCTATGTGATGAAAGTCATATAAAAAATATAAATAAAAAACAATGCTAATGCTCAGAGATGCCTCTCGTAGCCCGGTCACATCAGGGGCTATGAAATAAAAATGTGTTTAGTAAAATATTAATAGTATTTAAAGCCTTTTTTTTTCCCAGTATTTGAAACGTCTGTGAGCACATGTTGATTCCATGTTTTTAAATTTTTTTAAGTTATTTAATCAGAGAAATTCAACTTTAATTTAACTTTTATATGATTCGTGCCCTTATGACCTGTTATACGGTACAGAAGATATTATTTTAGTTCTCTCTTTCTCGTCATGTTCTGTTTCCATCAGGGTGCAGAACTTTATATTGCAGTAAAAAAATAATAATTTTGATTGCTCGAAGTTGGGTTAGTAATGTTTGACATAAAGGCAGGTGAGGGGCTCTGGCTACTTCCTGTAACCCATACAGTTATAGTACAGGACAACTTAAAAGAGTAAAACCTTTTTTATTATGATCGTAGCTGCAGAGGAACAACGTCTGACCTCCAAGTGCAGCAGTTGTGTGTTTATACTGTATCTATACGTGTGTGTGTGTGTTTTAGGTCCATGTGGTGCTGAAGCTGTGGAAGACGGGTTTCAGTCTGGACAACGGTGAACTCAGAAACTACAACGATCCTGGAAACGCCAACTTCCTCGAGGCGATCAGACGGGGGTGAGAACAGCTGAGCTCAGAGTTGCTCACAGATGTTTGAGGTTGAACACTCAGAGTAAACGTGTTCATGTTGGGATAAGATTCATGTTCCTGCACTCGTTACAAGCCCTGATGGATGTGATTCAGCCCCTCTGTTCGCCCGTTTGCAGGGAGATTCCTCTGGAGCTGAGGCAGCGGTCTCGAGGCGGGCAGGTCAACCTGGACATGGAGGACCACCGGGATGAGGACTTCTCCAAACCCAAGTTGGCCTTCAAAGCCTTCGAAGGCGAAGGACAGAAGCTGGGAAGGTGAGAGCGATGCTGCTGCTGCCACACGACGTTGTTTCTGTTGCAGAAGCAGCTCTAAATACATGCAAGGAAACCAGTTCTACTTGTTTATGAACATTAATCATCTGTAGTCTCAGTGTTGACTTTGAGTCAGGATTTATTATTATGACTCTTTAGCTGCATGTTTCCGTAACAATCACAGCTTTATCTGCTCATTCAGTAAAATCATGACACATCAGCAGCACCTGAAACAAACCAAATCACAAAGCAATCCATTTAAATTCACATGTGCACTGTAGATTAAACTCTATCGCCATACCATTTAAAAAAATAAAATATAAAATGCGTGGACTGAGTGCATTCTTTGTCAAAGAGTACGTTTCAGTAAGTTACAGTTATTAAGCTACTTAGTCCTACTAACCCCACAGTGGAAGATCTCTAAGAGCAGCTCGTGACTAATCACACGGAGGCTCAGCAGGAAAAACAGTAATCTGCACGTCTGGAAAAGTCTTAAATTCCCTGAATTCAATTCCTTAAATCGGACCGTAGGAGGTATTAGCAAGTCCTAAATTTCGGCCTGCTTTAGACGCCATCGATAGTTTTGTAGATTTAGATTTGTGTCGTATGAGTTTGCAGGAGGTTGTACGTCTAGTGGCAACGTATCTGTGGGTTTAAATTGACTTCACACTTCTTAAGTCTTTTTTTTTTTTTTTTTTAAATTCCTCACCAGGGAAACTTACAATATGACAAATTTACCGTCTTAAATATCCTGATTTTTCTATCAGTGGGGATGTTGGATATGACGGGCTTTAACTGTGTGGTTTTGCAGCTGATGGGGCAAATTCTACACCTGTACAGTACATTTGTTATTTCTTTTGAATCCTTTTTTGTGGGGTTTCATTTTTGCAAACACTAATTCTGTCTACAGTATCTAAGAACTACGTCGTCTCATAACGCATAAGGCAGCGCGCACTGATTGTTGCACCAAAAAACATGATTATTTACTTGTATCTTACTATTTTATGCAAAATTTTATACTGTAAGAGACCAAATAAAACAAAAACGGGGGCTCAGACTTCAGAGAGCGGATGAGAGCTTTTAAAACAAAGTGTAAATAGAATCAGGGAGAGGGAAAAAAAAAGAGGAAAGAAATTACATCAAATATGTTGTGGGGGTGTCGCATAGCTGCAACATTCAGAGTTCAGTTTGTGGACCTTTTGTTACTGTCGTCAGCTGTAAGTTGTATAAAGGCATGAATGTATTCCTATATCTGAGCTGCTGCTTTCCACAGAGCAGCAGTCATGTGTAATTAGAATTTTATAAACGGTTATTTAATCTGCACGAAATCTTTAATGTCTCAGCAGCATTTAAAGTGACCAGAGTTTATGTTTTATATATTAGAAAATTGTGGTTCTGTAACATCCTATCAGGCGTTTAAAGGCAGTTAACAGAGTGAGACCACCTGACTGTTACACATCAGCTCCACAACATGTATTTTTCAGCATCAAGCTGAAGTAAAGACTCACGTTTCCTCCCTCCAGTGCCACTCCAGAGTTGGTTTCAGCTCCAGCCACCTCCCAGCAGGTCCAGGCGGCCAACGAGGCCCAGGCCAGCGCCTCGGTGACCGTCGACCCCTCGCAGCCCGTCACCAACATTCAGATCCGGCTGGCCGACGGCGGCAGGCTGGTCCAGAAGTTCAACCATACCCACAGGTGACTGATTCGCTCCTCGTTGGCAGCTTGGTCCGTTGGAGTTAGTTCTGTTTGCTATTTAAGAGAGATGGGCAGGTATTTGTTCAAGTGCTTTAAAATGGAAAGAAATCAATCATGCAATTTGGTTCCCTTATAGATTTATTAAAAGTTTTCTGGAAATATGACAAAACCTGCTGGTCAACAGTATACATACAGCACTGCTCATATTTGGTTAGACGTCCGTCCCTCAGTGAGGCACTTTTGTAGCCGTCTACAAGCTCCTGGGTGCATTAAATTTCTTGGCTTTCCGACAGACTCGTTTGCTCTGTACAGTCCTCAGGTTTAGTCACGGCTTGAGTGGATGCCGATTATTGCAGATCAAGAAAGGCAGAGAACTGATATTTGGACGTTAGATGTTAGACATTGGATGCAACTTAAATTAACTCTCAACTACAGATTACATAAACAGTATATTTGCAACCTGACGTTATCCATGCTTCCTCCGTAACCCTCTCTCGTGTCCCGCTGGGCCCTCAGGGTGTCGGACCTGCGGCAGTTCGTGGTGGCCGCCCGGCCCGCCATGGCCGCCAGAGAGTTCGTCCTCATGACCACCTTCCCCAACAAGGAGCTGTCGGACGAGGGCCAGACGCTGCTGCAGGCCAACCTCCTGAACGCCGTCATCGTCCAGCGACTACAGTGAGAGCGGGGGAGGCCGACCTCCTCCCCCCCGACTCCCCCCCTCTCCCCGGTGGTGAGGCTGAGCAACTGCAGCCCCGAGAAACCTGCTGCCCCTTCTGAGGGAGGAGAAAACACGGACTTATGTATGGACTTCTAATTTCTGATTTTTTGTTTTTCTAAAGTGAAATGTAACGCTCTGCTCCCCTGCCCTCCCCTCCCCTCTCCCCCTCCCTCACCACTCTCACCCTCCCCGTCTGTGGCCTGTAGCAGACGGCAACGAGGGCTAAAAAGGAAACTAAAAACCTCCCAGAATGGAACAGAGTTCTTTTAGGAGCCTCTCGGAAAGCCTGCGGATGCTGCTTGAACAGCGGTTTTGCGATGAGTCCAGGTCCAGCTTTCTGAGCGGCAGTTTGGTTGCAGAGATGTTTCGCTAAAACCGCCTCTACTCTCCATTAACCCGCTCCTTACGTCTATTAATCCGGCCCTTCAGCTACGTTTACGATCAGGTTCTGTGGCTTCAGCAGATCCACGCAGCGGCAGATTCACACCTCGTTTCTGTCTCGACAGCACAAACCATGAGAAAAAAAAGTACGTGTTGATGGTGTGGTTTTGTACACGTTTTCCATTTCTCCCCACATGTTGTTATTATTCCTGGAGAGAGAGAAGTGTGACGACGTGACGAAACACTGGCTTTTCTTTTTTTCTCCAAACCAACTTATACCAGTAGCCTTACTCTCCTTTGTCCACCTCCAGAACCAACACCTGCCCCCTTTTGTTCAGATGAAGATGGAGTTATTTTTTTAAAATGCCTTCTCCCCCGCCCCTCCACCACCTCTGTTTCTTTCTTTTTTTTTTTTTCCTTTTCAGATTGTAGGCTTGTCCCCAGCTAGACAGTGGCATTTTGATATCGTGTAACATGACGACCAGTTACACACGGCTTTATTACCAAACCAATGGTTGAGCAACAGAACACATAGATTGTAAACACTGGTTTGTAGTTGTGGAATCTGAATTCCTCTGATACACTGACATCTTCTATGCATCCTGGGGCAACACAGAACTATGTTTGGACCTCTGGTAAAATAAATCCATTTTATGGTTGATGTATAAAGAACTCACCGTCTCGTGTTTTTATTTCAGGAGGATTTTTAAATGAGAACTCTTAACGATCATGTCGACCTTTTGGATCGAGGCAGATTCATCTTTACTGTCATGACACAATGTGTAGTTCGCACATTAGAAAAGCCGATAAATGGACATGCATATAAAACCTCTGACAAAAAGGCAGCTGCATCGGTTTGAAAGTGCCGCTTAAAAATTAAATCTAAATAAGGAAAGAGTTCTATCAGTGTATGTGCTGCATCATTGTTAGATATTTTACAGTGAAGGAGGGAAAAGGCTGGTCTTCAGTGTTTTCTCATTATTTAATTATCAGTGCATTTATGTGAACTTTGGACATTTGCTTAATTTTGGAAATCTTACTTGTTTTCCTGAGCGGCTCTGTGGTGCAGTGGTTTAAACTGGCGCCTCACAGGAAGTACTTGTTGGTCATTGCATGTTCTCCCAGTGTCTGCATGGGTCCTCCGGGTTCCTCCCACAGTCCAGAGACATGCATGTAGGTTAACAGGTTATTCTAAACAGGCTGCAGGTGTGAGAGTTTATGGTCTGTTTGTAGTAGCCCAGTGTTAGCTTAAACAGGCTGCAGCTCCAAGTCGCCCTCTGCTGGATGAAGTAGGAAGAGCTGATAGATGGACGGTT